TATACTGTGGTGTTGGAATTCCCTAGCTAGAAATGTAGTTAGGACGTTCCCACAACAATACGTCTACTAGGATAGTAAACGATCGTTCGGGTGGACCTGAAGACCCCAGTTCTGCCCTTGCACCGGGACAAACTGGACCTTGAAACTACTTATATAGGCCAACCAGTAAAATAAGAACACGCTACTAGCACGAGCAAAGCTAGCAGGTGTTTTGAATCCTCGTGGTCCCAACAGCGGAAGGGTACCAGGCACGGGTAAGCCTTTTACGAGATCACCGAGTGTTCAACACTCGGTAGGAAGAATAAAAGGGAGGCAATTCAAGCACTCCCAGTCGTGCGAATAGGCAACAATAAGCCGTCACGTAAAACCTCCCGATAGTATTCGGCCAATACACAAAGTCTCTTGGCCTTGCCGGATGAACCCTCGCTACAGAGCTTCGGGTTCACCGACAGGCATAACACACTCAAACAAGCTTGACCTGACGCTTAACCTTGAAGCCGGACGTCGCTCTGTGTGCTTGAGTGGAAATTCTGTTCTGTATTTAAGCTTACCTTTCGGATCTATTCCTAATAAGAAGTCTTAATCAATCATACAAATATCAAGTGAACAATGATCCGTTATGGATCTTCTTGCATGCCAAGCGTCGTCTGCGCCGTCGCATGAATATCTTTAACGGCCCGCGCCCTGTCCCAGACGGTGAATGTGTCTTCCAAGCGTCGTTGAGTCTTCCGTGAACTCATCCCAACCGCCACCGAGGGTTCGTACCGTAGATGGTCCGCTGAATGCGAATCCGGCCAGTCCATTATTAATAATAAGGACAGCCTGGATTCAGTGACATATGGAATGTATCCAATATCCGTTTGAGACGTCGGAAGTGACGCCGTCGGGTCCCCTGCACCTTGGCGTCTCCGTACATCACATGACCGAGGGTTCGTCGCTTGAACATCTTGGGTGGTGCCACGTCTTTGTCGACGGGTGATAATCCGCAACTACGGAGAAATCACTACACCACCACAGCACCCTGTGCCAAAGCACTGTACGCGCGCTAGCGTAGGAGCTAATGCAGCTCTGAGTGTAGGCTTTGCGGCCAACACAGCTTTGACACTCGTAAAAATACCCGCTAGGGGAAAGGTCACTCAGGAGTGGGTGACGGACGCAGGCCACAACTTTGGAGCTGAATATCCCGAACTCGGACGACCCGAGGATGATCAGGATGGGGACGAAGGCACAGGGTCCAGGCCCCCCTCCAACGGGAACCACCGCAGGATCAAGGCCAAGGGCAGGAACAAGAACGCGTCGAGGAGAGAACAACTGTTCAAGGAAGCAGCTTCTGTTCAAGTAGCGGAGAGCACGGCGAGGAGAGCCCGCCCAAGAGTCGCCAACAGGAACACCAACCCCCAAGGGACGGGACGAGGCAGGAGGATCACGATCAGGGTGAACGGTTGAAAACGCAAGGGGAGACGTGGGGAGATAAAGTTCGCGCGAGCTTAACCCACCAACAGCTAATTACGGATGAAGCAGCAAGAAAATCGCATATGCTGGAAGGGATATGGAATCCGGTGCAACAGAAACAATAAATAGCGACACTAACGACCGATTGGTCGGTAGTAGCAACTGAAGTATGGACAGAAGAAGAGGAGGCAATGCGGAAGGAAGCTCTTACACCAGCGTCGGCCAGCTGTGATGAAAGCCTTCGAACGTGGACAGCCAGAGAGCAGGAAATCCTTATGATGTACTTGGCGGGTAATCTTGACCTCCCATACCCACCGAGCTTTGTCAAGGAGATCATGACTGGAGAACATCGTGCGATGCTGGAGGATATGCATGAAGCCTATTTTAACGCTAACCTTACTGCCGCACTGCCTGCTTCGGTAAACATGCACCACATGCGGTTCTTTTTAAAGAACTTTTCATGGCTAACACTGACAGGAGATCGGGACACACGATGCTGAACGTACTCCAGCGTGACGTTAAACGTCTTTCTTTCGATGGAGTCAAGACGTTAAGATTCACATTTTACTAAAAAAAAGCAGCAACTAGATGGAAAGATAAAACGATGAGGTTTCAGAAGGCTGTTATCACGATCCGGGACACGGAGCGATCACCCGAAGACGAAGGAACTGGTCACTACAACCCAGCGCAATTAGAACTCCAATATGCAATTCGAGTCTACGGAGGAGCGGATCTAGGGCTCGTGACACTTGCAAGAGCTTTTACAAGCTTCTCGGAGGCAAAAGTATTGGATGTGGAGTACGCAAGAGCAACGCAGACCGACATTTACGACAACCGATATCATACCATCCGGTTCGCACAACGACAATGCCCTGAGGCGCTCAAGGGAGTGTCTAAGACCGAACTAAATGGAGTGAATATTACTATTCATCATTTCCAACAGTTTATCCGTAGACCGTGTGCAAAACGTTTGAATCCAAGACATGGAAATGCAAATTGTTTTGTCAAACCTGAGAATTTGGACCACGTTAGAGCCCGAGCAGCTCGCTTCTTAAAGGAACCTGTGCTCCAGCACAAACTAGCCCCACGCAGAGCCTTTCATGTACAATCCATTGAAGAACTAATAGCAATGTTCCAAACGGGACAACCACCGCTGATGCCAAGCGCATCTCTCCTGCAAACCACGTCTCATGAATCGACGACAACGCCGAAGGAAGAGCACAAAGACTCGGAGACTGCAACAGGGGAACCCTGCCGGGTGGAGGGCACCGACACCACGCCCCCTATTGCTGTAGCCACGGAGGGCTTCGTCTATAAAAAATCAAAACAAAAAAGAAAGGCGATGGTCGCAAACAAACTGCACAAATACGTACCGACGACGCACGGACGCTTTAAGAGGGGCGGAAGGAGACTCAGAACCAGTAACGGACCACAAAAGAAAAAAATAAAAGGAAGAAAAAGGCACCAATTCCTACGGCAGAGAAGCGATATGCGGAATTCCAACGTACGGCGGCCTTAGGACGTTTTGGAGCCTTGGCACAGTCGGATAGTGAAGCGGACGAGGACACAGACGCTATGGAGGTTGACGAAATGGATCCAACCGGTCCGCCCACAGAAAGTAGTTACATGAGGGAGGAGGCTCCGTATGCATAGGAGGGCTCAATGGTAGAGCATATTCACCAACATCACGAGGAAGGTGAAGACCCACACGTTGATACCATGACGAACCAACAGTTGAATCACCACGCCACAACGGATGCCATCATGACACCGGCGTGTCTGGATGGGGAGGATAGTAAATGTGGGGAGTCACAGGAAGGACACAAGGCCTTCCCCGTTATAGCGACGCATCAAGCGACCCAGCATGGACAACAGCCGATAGCTGTCCGCCAAGTCGACGCGAAAGAATAAAATGCATTCCGGGAAAATCGGTCTCCAAAACGGAGCGATCAAGAGTATGCAGGTTAGCATGGCCACCTTCATGCAGACAGCGGCCAAGCTGGCAGCCCACGACACTACGGTGGATTCGGTGGATTCACCAGCCCAACTCGCGACGACCACCGATCTCACACAGAATGAAGCATCGGAGGAGGATTATGAGTCGGAAACTCCGGACTCACAGTAATCCGTGGAAATAGGTGAAAGTCGTCTAGGAACTGCAGAAGGTGATACAGATCTCCCCAAACAGATTGGGTTATGGCTAGCGAGTTTTGATGGAAAGGAAATCGCAGTGGCTGCCAATGGCCAATGTGCTTTTCTGGCGCTGTATGCTTCCACGACCAACCACACACAAAGCCCAATGAAGTGTACACGCACAACAGTCAGAGGACCCACGGCACTTAAAAAAGCGGTGTACACATTGATGATGTGCAACTTCGGAGGGACGCGGCGCTACATTTAGTGGATCCGGTCCACGAGTATCAAAGACTGTATCCGGATCACCCTGGCTTTGAGTCACCAGCAGCTGCAACGGCAGCGCTTTTTTCCCACTATGATGTCACCCGCCACAAACAGATAGATAAGAGGGTAGCACCCACCTTCTGGGGTGGACCGCATGAACTCAGGGCGATGTCCCAATACTTGAGGGAACCGATTGTTGCATTCGACGTTAACGCCCACAACGACGCACATATGCAGTGCTACCTATACAAGCAGTATAGACTACCAGATGGGACAGACCATGAGAGTGGATACGGAAAGAGCTTCACAGAGAGGCAACTGAATATCTCAAGAACTGTTGGGACCTACACATAATTCCAACATGCCTGGTGCTCCGGCACCATGAGCGCCACTTTTATGTTATGGAGCTAGCCATGGGGACCTATATCTTCAATGGCGTGCTGAAGGTGACGCAGAGTTCGCAGAGACAATCTCCAACTCGTACACTTGGAAATCCACAATTAACCAGCTCACGGAGTCGGAACGGAAATCCGACCTGCAAACTGTTAACCAACTGGGAAATATGGACTCTGTTAACTCGTTATTGTGCAAACGTATGGAGATGAGAGAACGACTGGATGTAGCCCACGCCCGGCTTGGATTACCAGTGCTGGAGTCATTTTCACCAGACTACGATGCAGAAGCAGCGGTCACATGCGAAAATCAACAAATACATGAAGAATACGGACTAGATCATCTGGCTGCGTCATCTCAGACACCAGGAGATTCATCTAGCAAGCACGACGAAGTCCCTACTCGCATTGCCCGAGTCGCAACTGGGCCCGTCGTGGCCAACTCGTACTTTCGCATCTTAAAAAACTCACCGGACTCTCCAATGGACCACGTGGATAAACCATGAGCGGTGACAATAGAGGCCGCAAACGGTGAGGCATTCCGCACATGGTGTGAGTTGTTCCGGGCCAAACTGAAAAATTCCAACCACAAAACGCAGACGTGGAACAGCAGCAGATATCATGGAATGGCTATAAAGACCCCGGAGGCACTCCGGCACCTGTATGCCTTCCTCCCATACCCCGAACAAAAAGCTAAAACCTGGGAAATGGAGCCTCTAATTGTGTGGGGTTTGCTGGAGGCTCAAAGAGAACAAGTGAACGCACTTCGGCGTCTAGTTGACGACCCAACAATTGCCGAGGCCGGTAGAAAGTACTGCAAGGAATGGATCCAGGAGTGCACAGCTACGACCTCTGATACCCACACAATTCAACAGCTAGCGGGATCATCTGAGAGGTGGGCACGCCTCGCGCAATGGGTGCCAGAATCCTGCTACCGTCAGCAGCCAGCTTCATTAACTGACTCGGAATGGGGAATCTTACATACAATCCCTTTCATTGTCAGCAATTGGACAGAAACCCCGATGGGTAGAGCCCCACACGGGGCTCGGGCGGTTTCGTACGATCAATTCCCCCTTCATCAGAGGATTGTGCCACCAAGTAGTGAATCACAACGATTGGAGCTCGGCAATCTATGCCCCAGCTGAACACGTCTGGGAGGAATGAAGGGACAACGCAGTCACCGACTCCTCCGGGACGGAGGCCAAATAAAGGCACCAAGGTGCCGCAAGGGTCGAGTATCGTAAGGCAGACGTACTCGACAACGGTGTTCGACGAAGAACACAACATGCCACAGGGGGCGGTGCGGAAGGACCGACAGAGAGGGGACCTAGCGAATATATCGGCACCAGCATCCACCACACAGACAGGAGCAGGAGCGAACAGCGGAGATCGTGGAACAACAGGTCCACTGGGAATCGCACAGTACTTCGACCCGCTGTCTACAATAGAGCATCAACAATACATTGAAGACCAATTTGAGAAGGAGAAGCGTCTTCAAGCGCAGCGACGAAAAGCAGCAGACAGAGACACGGACAAGGCCCACCAGGGCTCTCCAGATGACCTCCACCCTCAAGATCAAACTTACGGTTTCATCACTCAAAATGGCAACGGTCTGGGAGCGACTGAAAAGGATAGAGATATGTGGTTTCGAGCTTTTGAAGAACAGGATGCACATGGCAGAGCGGATGTGTTATTGATTCAGGAGACCCATTTAGCGGCTAGCGAAGTTGGATACCATGAGAGACTGTATGCGAAGCGGTGGGGTTTTAAGACCGGTGTACAGCAACCCATCCATTCCTGCTGGTCACCATCACCAGATCGGAAAGGAGGAGTCGCCATCTTGGCTCACCAGTACGGAGCTTTCACAGACATGACACCATTCATGGAGGATCGATGGTCTCCCAATTTTATGGCAGTCCAAGGCAAACTAGCCGGAGCGCTTACTATTGTGTGCAAAATATATGCACCCCACCGCTACACTCCCAGAGAGCGGTTCTTCCAGAGCTTACAATCACAGGTATTCCCAAAAGGAGCCCTGATCTTTGTCTTCAACAAGGGCGTAGGGGGCACAGCACCGACTGTGTATATAACACCAGGCCACGAAGCTTATAGACAGGACGACACACGGTTAATGTCAACACTCTGGCAGACTGGCAGGAACATCATTCGCCTGGCAGGCGCACCTGATCATCTTCCGGGACTGACTGCATCCAGGAAACACAGTACCCATACAATGTACGATCGCCTGCAACGATCGACTCATTGGCACGGAGAAATCCTCACTATTGACTGCACTCATTACCTGGAGACGCTCTCACAGGACTATTCATTCGCGCAGAAGCAGACCCACGGACAACTGTACCATGAATGGCTGCCGAATGCGGCCATTGGAACACTCCAACTGTGGTCACAAGCTGAGGAGCTATTAACTTTGCAGAATGCATGCAAATTGACAGACAATGGAAACATCACGGTTAAGAACTTGACGAACTGGAGGAGAGTAAGAGTAGGAGTGGCTTCCTTCCACTTCGCCTTACCGCCAACGACCAATATCAAGAGGCAGCGAGCGGAACTGCTGGCCACCACAATAGTGGCGAACTACCCGCACACTGTCATGGAACCCCAGTACGCAGCAGAAGTACGTCTTACGGCACACCCCAAGGATCACCCAGCTACTGTGACATTACAGCTAAGGCCGATGATCGAAGCGGTCATCTACACTAGTTCGTATGGCCCGGACCACAGTGTGCAGGTAGACAGTCACACCGCACTTCTTAGACATCTCACAGCAATCGCAGAAGACAATTTCAGGATCCTCGCGGTGAGACCGCACCCGATCTTGAGCAGACTCGTATGTCTGTGGGCAGGGGGCCGGCGGTGGACTCGCACAAGGAAACACTACAAAACACGGATTGCCCAGCCGTCCCACCGCAGAGGAGTAGCCAACAAAGAGAAAAGAGCATCCAAATGGGTGGATACGCGCACAGCAGCTGCTACCGGCCTCGCAGCTCTACCCCGGAAGAGTGTTCGCAGAATCATTGGACTGGGACCTTGGGGGGAGCAAACGCTGCTGCGACTCAAATAGGGAGCCTTCTCCGTGTACGACGTCAGCCAGAACAAAGCCGGCTGCCCACACAAGACCTGCGCACACATCGTCGACACGGACATATACCACGTATTCTGGGGTTGTGCAGCGGGGCTGCCGTAGCTTTAGCGTCAGAGGAAGACGTTCGACTCAAAGAGTCACTAATACT